TGTGTGTGTGTGTGCATCTGTGCGTGTGCACTTCTGTGTGCATGTGCACCTATGCCTGCACGTGTGTGCATGGACCTGTGTGTGCACCTGTGTGCGTGCGTGTGTGTGCGCGTGCACCTGTGTGTGCACGTGTATTCCCCAAACCGATTTTCCTCCTCATCGCTCTGCACGTCGTTTCTCCCCGCTCTCATGCAGTCTGAGTAGCTGTGGTCTGTTGCCTGTGGCTTTGACAGGGACAAGAGAGGGAGAGGGAGGGACGGAGGGTGGCTGGGGAGCGCTGGAATCAGGTCACTGGGTTGTGGGGCCACAAGGACCCCAGATCTGTGGTTAGGGGGAGACCCATGAAAGCCGGTGGTATGGTTTCAGCCTGGGCACTGCAGAGTCGGGACCCAGGAAGCGCCCAGGCTTCCCTCTGAGTCTGACGGTGGGGTGCTGATGTCCTGGCCTTGAGACCCTGGGGAGGGCGGGGCTCCGATTCTCTGGCTCTGCCCTTTGTGGTCTTCAGGCCCTCAACTGATTGGACGAGGCCCACCCACGTGGGGCGCGTCACCTGCATGGCACACTTTTAGTTTTGATAACAAGAAACTGTTCCCCCGGGTATCTCTGCACGGAGAGGTCCCGCCTGCCACCCATCTCTCCTCTCCTGCACCCCTGCGGCTCCGCCTGGCTCAGTTTGATTAGGTCTGGGGTGCCCCCCGCCCTCCCCTGTGGGGAGGTGATCTCTCTCTGGAAGCAGCAGCCCCTGGGCAGCTCGGCCACTCCCCGCCTAGCCACAGGGCCAAGAGGGCCAGCACAGCCCCCAGAAGTCACAGCAGTGGCCAAGAGGGACTCCAGCAGCCCCCTGCACTTGGCCTTGAGGCCTGTGCAGGAGCCTGGCCTCTGGTTCGTCCATAAGCCGGTCCCTCTGCCTCCTGCCTCACTCTCCTGACCTGCAGGACGTCAGGGCGGAACAGCGGCTGTGAGCCACACCCACTATTGAGGGGCAGTTCATTTTGGGGGGCACCAGGGATTGAACTCAGGGGCCCTGACCACGGAGCCCCGTCCCCAGCCCTGTTTGGTATTTTATTGAGAGACAGGGTCTCCCTGAGTGGCTCAGGGCCTCGCTTTGGCTGAGGCTGGCTTGGAACTCACGATCCTCCTGCCTCAGCCTCCCGAGCGGCGGGGATGACAGGCACCCGGCAGAATTTATTTTTTTAAGTTACATTACATTAAAAAAGATGGTGAACACACTCCTCCTACCCTCCGAGTCGGCCATCGTGGGACATTACAGACACTGGACTTTTCATTTCTTTTCTGAGAAGTGAAACCAAGGGGCGGAGCGAGGCTCAGGGGCAGAGTGCTCGCCGGGCACCTTGGAGGCCCTGAGTCCCGTCCTCGCCACCAACAGAGATCAACCCCTAAAATAAAGGAGTGGTGTCTGTCCACCCCTAAAGACATGAAAGAGAAAGAGAAGTGACCTTCCAAATCAGAGGGAGTTTCCTCTAGCCTCCTCCCTACGGACTCCACTTTCTGTTTGGTGGCCTCCTTCCCCTGGGTGACAGACACTTCGCGGCGTGTCTTATTCATGCGCTCTCAGGGCGAGAACCTGATTCCCAGGCCAGTGTCCTGCACCGAGCCGTGCGCCCCGGCCAGGACTTGGCCACCCAGTATCCAGGCTTCCCGTGAGGGGAGGCCACTGGGCTGGAGGCTGACCCTGTGTTGCAGGCAAGGACGCTGAGGCCCAAGGACATGTGACCGCCAGCCTCTGGGGTCCCCTGTGCCTCTGCAAGGTCTGTCCACGGTCCAGGCCTCTGAGTGCCTCACTGAAAGGGCAGGAGTCCCAGCCTCTCCCTGAGGGGAGGCAGGGAGGCTCTGAATCTTCTCCGTGGTTGCTCTTATCAGCCCAAGGAGGGACTGAGTTCATGACGGTGGGCACCTAAAAACGTGCCGTGTGGCAGAACCGCGGTGTGGGGATGGGTGGGTCCCAGCACAGCTTATTAAAAATGACCCGCCAGCCGGGCGCACACCTGTCATCCCAGCGGCTGGGGAGGCTGAGGCAGGAGGATCGCAAGTTGGAGGCCAGCCTCAGCCACTGTCCAGGTTGGGAGGCGGAGCTTGGCCTTGGGGGGGGGCCCCCCCCCCCGCAAGACAACGTGAAGAGTCACCAGGCCTGCAGGTGTGTGCCATGGTGCCTGGCCTGGGGGGGTCTTCACGTCCCCTTCGCCGGCAGGGGACGGTGTCCAGGCCTTCTGCTGGCCGCTCTGTGCACACCTGGCCGGGTGCTTGGTGGCACCCTGGGGGTGTTTGGGGACGCCACCCTGCCGCCCCGTCCCCGGGGCACCTGGTGTGGAGTGGGGAGGCTTTGCACGGTGGCTCTGTACAGCCTCCTGGCACGACACACAGACCCTGGGGGACACTGCTGGCCAGGGCCCCGGGGCTGAGTGCTGGCCACTGCCCAGTGGGCCTTCCCTGGTCCCTGGTCACACTCCATGGCCATTCCCCCTGCTCGGGTGCCCAGCTGTCCCCCCAGGGCCTCTGGATTCCGCGGTGGCATTGACCTGGGGCCACCTGGTGCCGCGTCCCTTGAGCCTGGGCAGATGCTGGCCACCTGTGTCGAGGACGAGGACCGAGGCGTGGCACCACGCAGTGGCCCAGCACATCTGGGCTCCCTGTCCTCCCGAGGGAGGTGGCCTCTGGTCGCCCTGGGTCCCTTGCGGGTGGCTCTGTCTGCCTTCCTCCCCGGCCGGGCCGCAGCGTCAGCTCCGGGTGCAGGGACATGTGACAGCCGGGTGACCGTGATCTCCCAGGGTCCCCAGGTGACAACAGCCTGGGGTGGCAACAGCCCTGACTTGCTGCTCCCCCTTCCTGGCTTTAGCTCCCCGTGGTCAGCCTCTGTCTGGAGATCCCAGATGGAAAGTTCCAGAAAGAATTCATGGGTTCAGTGACGCGATGGCGGCGTGCGGTCGCCACGCCCTGTGTTTTAGTGACCGGTCACGACCCATCGCACGCCCCGCCTCCTCCACGAGCTGACGTCACCGTGTGTCCCTAGAGGAGGACACAGCATGCGGAGGGCCCAGTGCCACCACGGTTTTGATTGTCCCCCGTGAGCCTGTCGATGACGGGGGCCACTGTGCCTCTGCTCTGGGACAGCCTTGGACAGTGACGTCTCTTGATCAGCAAGACGCCTGTCACCAGCTGTGGGGTCCCCTATTTGGACTGTGTGTCTGGTCCCCCAGCCCTGAGGCTGCGGAGGTCCTAACTGGGGGGGACGTTGGCTGGCCCGGGCCGTCTCAGCGGGTGACGCGGCTCCCCCGAGGGACTGAGTCCTCCCCTTCTCGCTGCAGGTCATCGACCCGGCCAGAGGTGGCCAGCATAGAGCCGCTGGGCCCCAGCGACCAACCGTGCTCCCAGAAGGCCGTGGTGCAGGCCCGCCTGACCCAGCCCGCCCGCCTGACCAGCATCATCTTGGCAGAGGACATCAGTAAGCGCTTGGAGGGACACGGGCCATCCTGCTGGTGACCAGGGACGGGAGGGCCCCCTGACCTCCACCCTCTGGGTCAGGGGTGAGTAGTCAGTGGGCTACGTGCGTCAAATTCCCTGGGGTTCTGATTTATGCCGGGCGCATAAATCCTCCCGGTGGCTCTGGAGGCTGAGGCAGGAGGATCGCAAGGTGGAGGCCAGCCTCAGCAAATTAGCGAGGCCCTGAGCAACTCAGCGAGACCCTGTCTCTAAATAAAATACAAAACAGGGCTGGGGACAGGGCCCCGTGGTCAAGCACCCGAGTTCAGTCCCGGGTACCCCCATATCTATTAAAGAGATCCAAATTCTTGAGGCCCGGGAGAGGGAGACCTACACTCCAGTCTGTTCCTTAGGTGACTCCATTGTACACTGGGCTTCCTGAATCGTCCTTCTTACTCCACTTAACTTTTAGCAGGTGTCCAGTTAGGGTGAGGGAGGTTCCCCGGTGCAGGGACCACTGCTTTTCCTTCCTGTGTCAATCAGCTTTCTGTGGCTGTAACAAAATACCTGAGAAAATCCCACTTCGAGGAAGAAAGGTTTTTCTTCCCCTGGTTATAGAGGGTTCAGGCGGTGGCTTCCCGGCTCCTTTGCCAGAGAAAGCCCCATTCCACCTGGGTAGCCAGGAAGGAAGGAGAAAGGAGGAGCCAGAGCTGGCAGTGACCAGAGCCCTTCTGAGCCGGTCACTTCCTAGCAGAGCCTTGGGACAGTGCCACGTTGGGCCAGGGATCCACCACGTGAGCCGTTCCCCGTGGACCTTCCACATCCCAATCTGTGACACTTGCCCGTGTTTGGTTGACCTCACTGGGAAACGCAGGTGCCCCTCATTGTCCCTGGAGGGTCCGTTCCCAGCAAGATCTGCAGGGGCTCAAGGCCCGGAGAGGACGTGGTGTCTACGTGGGACCTCCAGACAGACGCCCGGACACACTTGTTTGTTTAGTACCAGGGACTGAACCCAGGGCACCCGACCCCAGAGCCTGTCCCCAGCGCTATTTTCTGTTTTATCGAGAGACAGGGTCTCCCCGAACTGCTTAGGGCCTCGCTTTGGCTGAGGCTGGCCTCCAACGTGGGATCCTCCTGCCTCAGCCTCCAGAGCTGCTGGGATCACAGGCGTGCGCCACCTGCGCTCCCACTCACGGAGCAAGCAGAACCCCCGTGGGCATCCACGCGGCCCTGAGTAAAAAAAGGGAATAGAAAAGTCATCGGCGCGGTCCTTGGTGCCAAGTGTGGGGACAGGACGGGGCCACCTCCCATGCCGGTCACCAGGGACGTGCATCGCCCGTCCACAGTTCTACCCTGAGGGAGCCCGGACTTTCCTGGAGAGATTCTCTTCCCAATCGTCCTACCCAAGCGCCCGCGCGCGCACGTCCCCAGGGCGCCGGCTGGGCAGTGTCTCTGTGAGGGTACGAGGTCACCGCCCTGCGCTGACCACCCGCTGTCCCTCCAGCCACAGGCCAGGTGCTGCGCTGCGACGCCATCGTCGACCTCATCCACGGGATCCAGATCGTGTCCACCACCCGGGAGCTCTACCTGGAGGATTCCCCGCTGGAGCTCAAGATCCAGGCCCTGGACTCGGAAGGTGAGTGTCCCCAGGTCACCTCCCTGCACGGCGCGACCCCGTCTGGGTCCTCCTCCATCTCACTCTGGCGCTCCAGCCCCGGGGTCTTGGGGACAGGGAGAATCAGAGAGGGGCTGTCCCTGGTGTCTCTGGAGCGCACCTGCCGCGCACCTGCCTCCCTCTCCCGCCGTGTCCCCCGCGGTGGGGTGCCAGCCCTGCAGGGGCAGCCCAAGACCTGACCCCAGCCGTCACCCAGGGTCAGTCAGTCTCATTACTGTGACAAAACGCCTCAATCTTGAGATGCAGTGCCTCTGGGGACATTCAAAGTCGAAACTATTTTCTTTTTGTACCAGGGATTGAACCCAGGGGTGCCAGCCCCAGCCCCTTTTTAAATTTTATTGAGATACAGGGTCTCCCTGAGTTGCTGAGGCTGGCCTCCAACTCTCCATCCTCCTGCCTCAGCCTCCTGAGCTGCGGGGGACCAGAGATGTGAGCCACGGCGCCTGGTTCGTGGCTACTTTTTGAGTTTGAAAAACGGAAAGTTTGGGCAGAGCTTCCTGGAGACTCTTTCCAGCCCCCATTTCCCTGGCACCTCCAGAGCCCTCGCTGAGTGTCAGTCGTGGGGCCATTTCTGTTGTGTGTGGTGGTCCCCTCCCTCGTCCTCGCCCTCAGCAGGCCAGGTGTCATGATGACCTCTCCACACTGCGCGTCCCATGGTATTTTGTCAGGCGGAGATGAGTCCCCGAGCCTGCGCACAGGGACCGGCCTGCGCACCAACAGGGAGGGGCCTGCACATGCTTGAGGAGGGGCTTATGCGCCCTTGGGGAGGGGCCTGTGTGCTTAAAGGGAGGGGCCTGCTTGCCCACGGGGCGGGGCCTGCTCAGGCACGGGGCGGGGCCTGCTCGCCCACGGGGAAGGGCCTGCGCATAGGGTCCGGGCCTGTGAGCCCAGGGAGACTAGCTTGTGCGCCCATGGAGCGGGGCCTTTTGTACCCAGGGGAGAGACCTGCCCACCCACAGAAAGGGCCTGCTTCCTGCCACTCTGAGTCCCCTGTCCTCCTTCCCTCCTGGCTCTCAGTCGTCTCCGTGCTTGTCCCTGGGGAAGGCGGGCACACAGGCCAGGGCGGGAGCGTGTGGACACGTCGTGTGGCCGTCCGTGGCACTTGGCCTGCAGCCGCAGTGGGGTCCGGTCTGGAGGCTGCCTCTGCCCTGGGAGGAGCCTCTCCATACCTGACCGCGGCCTGGGCGAGGTGCAGGGGCAACAGGTGCCCTGGGGTCCCCACCTGCAGCCACTAGGGAGGAGGGGCTGACTCAGCGCCCCGGAGCCAGCCCCGCTGGGGTGCAGGGACAGCAGCAGCGGGACCCGGTGGCCAGCACCTGAAGGCCTCTGCAGGCCCCGGGATGCTGCGCGCTCCCCGTCTCCTCTCTCCACTCGGGGGCCGTTCCCACACCCTGAGGGTCCGCTCCTGGCTGGCCTCCTGCCCGCGAGCTAGCGGGGAGGAAGGAGGAGGGCTCAGGCCCCAGGGCAGAGCGCTTGCTGGCCCAGGTGCCACAGTGTCACAACTGCGCAGAGCAGGCCCAGCGGGTGGCAGGAGGCACCACCTGGGACGGGTCTGGGCGCAGACCCCACCTTAGCCCCTGCCGGTCACCTGCTGTGAGCCTGCTGCCCTTGTCCTGTGCTGGCCAGCGAGCTCGGTGGGCTGTGTGGGTGGCGCTCCTGGGGACACGGCCGTGATCCGCCCCTGCCACCCGTCTGCCCTTGCAGGCAACACCTTCAGCACCCTGGCCGGGCTGGTCTTTGAGTGGACCATCGTGACGGACACCGAGGTGGAGGGCTTCTCAGACTCCCACAATGCACTGCGGTAAGAGGCGCGGGGTCGCTGGCCACCGCGAGGTCACTGCTGCCTTTGGCACCCCACCCTGGACCGTCTCAGGGTCCCAGGGTCCCACCCAGTGAGGACTTGGGCCCGGGACTTGGACGGTCTCTCCCAGTCCTGGCCTTGTCCCTCTCTCCTGTGCCTCTGTCACCGGTCACCATCAAGGGTGACGCAGGGCCAACCCTCAGGCCCCGACCAGGAATCTGTCACAGGAAGCAGCAGGCACACGGTGCCCAGCATCCCACACTGTGGGGGACACTGGGGACATGGGGGGACACCGTGGGGGGACAGGCCCGAGGGCCAGGCTGGCTGTGACGCCGCGTTCCTCCCCCAGCATCCTCACCTTCTCGGAGTCCACGTACACACCCCCGTCCTACATCTCCCAGATGGAGAAGGCGGCCAAGCAGGGGGACACCATCCTGGTGTCCGGCATGAAGACCGGGAGCTCCAAGCTGAGGGCGCACATCCAGGAGGCCGTCTACGGGGTGGGTGGCCGCTGCTCGCGCTCAGGGACCCGGGGCGGGGGTGGCTTTGGGGGCAGGCGACGTTCAGGCCTTTCTGCTGGTCACTGCACGGGGAATGTGCCCAGCATGCGCCCCGTCTCAGTCTGCGGATCCTGCGCAGCGGGTTGTCACTCCCTGCCTGTTCTAACTGGTGTCCCCACCCCAGCCTGGGACACGCCCCAGCATTAGGGACCTTGCTGGGGCTCGGCCTTCCTGGGCCAGGACAGAGACCTCGGGGGCCACTGGTGGAGGTGGCCAGCCCCAGCCCTGCCCAGGCCACCCGCCTCCTGGAGCCTCACCTGTACCTGGCAGGTGGGCGGGGCCTGGGGCACGTCCCCACAGACGGGGACGGGGACGTGCCAGGTACAGCTGCAGAGACAGACTCACCGTCCCACCTCAGGGTCTCAGACGTCACTCCTGCTCAGTCACTGTCACTTAAACTTGAGACAGAGCCTGCGTCCATGAGCGGCGGAGGGAGGGACTCGTCTGTTTCTGGCAGTGACCTTGGGGACATGTCCCCGCCGTGCCCCCAGGGCTCCCCAGGATTCCCAGGTCTGCCGTGTGGGGCTGAGGGACGGCTTGTCTCTCCATCCTGACGTCCCTGGTCCCAGAGGACCCTGTGGCTCGGTGGCCGAGCTGGCCCAGTGCGCAGGGGCTTCCCCCAACCCCGCCAGCCCCCTCTCCCTGGCCCAGGCCACTCCTTGGGGCTGTCCCCTGCCCCCGGGGCCGTCCCCTGCCCACCTGACGTCTGGGCTCTCCTCTCTCAGAACGTCCGCCCCGCGGAGGTCCGGCTGCTGATCCTGGAGAACATCCTGCTGAGCCCCGCGTCCGACGTCTACCTGCTGGTGGGGACCTCCCTGCGCTACAGGGTGCAGAAGATCAGGCAGGGGACCATCACAGGTGCGGGGCCCGGGGAGCAGTGCGCAGCCGTCCCCTCGGTCTGAGTCGGGGACACAGACCAGGTCGGCGCCATTAGATGCATGTGGCCTCCGCCATCTGGCCCACGCTGCTGAATGTGGGGTGCACAGGACTCAGCTCCTGGGGTGCCCAGCCTTCAGCTCCTGGGGTGCATAGCCCTCAGCTCTTGGGGTGCACAGCCTCCAGCTCTTGGGGTGCACAGCCTCTAGGTCTTGGGGTGCACAGCCTCTAGGTCTTGGGGCGCACAGCCTCTAGGTCTTGGGGTGCACAGAGAGTCACAAAGAAAACTGTGTCTGCAAGTTCGCAGCTGTGTCCGTGCCCTGGGGTGGAGAGGACCGCTGAGGGGCAGAGGCCCTGAGGGTCAGGCGGGCTGTATCCAGCTGCTGGCCGGCAGCTGGGCGGGCGCAGCGATGGGGCCGGGTGCGCCTGGGCGCCTGCGTCTCCCGGCTCCACCCGCCCTGTCTCCCTGCCCAGAGCTCTCGATGCCCTCGGATCAGTACGAGCTGCAGCTTCAGGACTGTGTCCCGGGCCCCGGAGGAGACGCTACCCGGCCTGTGGCCGTCCTGGCCCAGGACACATCCACGGTCACCGCGGTGCAGCTGGGACGGAGCAGCCTTGTCCTTGACTACCGGAGTATCCTCTAGCCCCGTCTTTTTTTGGGGGGGAGGGTACCAAGGATTGATCTCAGGGATTCTCAATCCCAGAGCCCCGTCCCCAGCCCTTTTTTTGTATTTTACTTAAAGTCAGGGTCTTGCTGAGTTACGGAGGCTGGCCTCTAACTTGCGATCCTCCTGCCTCAGCCTCCTGAACTGTTGGAATGACGGACGTGGGCCACCACGCCCCGTGAGGTTCCCTTTGCTAGGGTAGGAAGCACAGCGGGGCCCCTGACCCTGAGCTGCCCTGTGGCCTTGGTGACGGTCAGGCTGTGGGGTCCAGCTGGCTCACGGGCTGTCCTGGGTGCTGCCCCTTAACGAGGATCCAGGCATCCGCATGCAGGGCGCGACCAGGCTGCCCAACGGCACCATCTACGTGGTGGAACCCGGGTACCTGGGTGAGTGTGGCCCTCGGGAACCTCCTGGGCCTGGCTTGTGTGTCACCCGGAGAGTCGCGGGGACGGAGAGGCGTGGGCAGGGCCGGGCACCACAGGGTTCCCAGGACAGCGTCCCTTTGGGCCTGAGGGGACTCGCCGGCTGACACCCTGGAGTCAGGGGGCTCCGCCCTGGTGCACAGTGACCAGTGGCTGGTCCACTGCCCCGGAGACCGAGGTTTGGTGTGGACGCCACCTGACAGTGGGGAGGCCGGGGGCGGTGGGGACGTGGCCTCGTGTCCCAGGAACTGCCCTCGGGCCTTCTCCGTGCAGCTGCCGGGCACAGGGTGGGGGCTGAGGCGGGTCCTGCACCACAGGCAGGGACGAGCGAGCCAGGGGTCAGTCAGTGCCACACAGCAGGGGACGTCACCGAGGCCCCGCGTCATCTTAGAAGGAGCCTTGGTGGGAGGGGCGTCCAGGCAAGGGGACAGCTGGGGCGGTGATGCCAATGTGGCATCCCGTGGGGGACAGTGAGACCTGTGGTCAGGGCCGGCTCAGTGTAGACCTGCCCAGGCCCCGAGTGGACCTGCCCAGGCCCTGGGTGGCCCAGGCCCCACCTGCTCCTGTCCTGTGCCTTGCTGTGGCCTCCAGCCTCAGAGCCTCAGGCTGGCCCAGCTGGGGACCCGGCGCCTGGCCCTGCCCAGGCCTGCGGGGGCCTCTGTCGAGTGCAGTGAGGACAGGGTCCAGCTGTCACGAGCCCTGGGCAGCCAGAGCGGGGTGTGTCCACGGGTCCCCGGGAGTCAGAGAGGCCAGCCGGGGCTCACCTCCACAGCTGGTCCCTCTCGGGGTGGCCGGGCAGCAGGGCTGGGCCTCCGGGTGGGTGGTGGCTGGTGCCCGATCGTCTCCTGGGCCCTGCGTCCTGGTCACCTGGGCGCTCAGGCCCCTCCCCGCCTGCTTTTAGGGTTTGCAGTCCACCCTGGTGACCGGTGGGTCCTGGAGACCGGCCGCCTGTACGAGGTCACCATCGAAGTGTTTGACAAGTCCGGCAACAAGGTCCACCTCTCTGATGTGAGTGTCCGCAGGGGCCTGGCGAGTGACCAGCACGGTCGTCTCCCAGGGCAGTGACCAGCCCAGGAGGGGTCCTCTGCCCCCAGGGGTGTCTGGTGTGTGGGGACGCGGACGCAGGGCTGTGGGGCTCCGCTCGCTGTGGGGACCACGGTGTGCTGTGGCCCCGTGCGGGGCCGAGGGGCAGTGGGCAGCGGTGGGGACTCTGCCCGGGGCCCCTGGCCCCTGCCTGGTCTCGGGGGCTGATCCACGCCTCCCCCTGCGCCCCGGGATGCCTGTAACCTCCCGGAGGCCCCTCAGTGACAGGGCCACCTCAGGCTCCTGCCTGTGGAGGGGCACGTGCGCCGTGGGGACAGGTGGAACGTGGTGGCCTTCTGTCCCTGTGATTGCTGCCCGGTGCCACGGTGGCTGTGGCTGGAGGGCCGGGTGGAGGGTCCCGGGTGGGCCAGTGGCCGCGTGGTCAGGACGCTGCCCAGGGCTCGGGCAGCCTTTCCTGGTGTTCGGAGGCCCCTTCTCCGGCCTGCCCTGGCCACTGTTGTTGCATCCCCAAGTCCCCGAGTCCCCAAGTCCCCGAGCTCCGCTGTGTTCCTTGCAGAACATCCGGATCGAAGCCGTGTTTCCCCACGAGTTCCTGGAGGTCCTCTCGTCGTCCCCGAACGGGTCGCACCATCACGTCCGGGCAGCGCAGCGGGGACAGGCCACCCTCCGCGCGGCGCTCACCTCCGTGGTGGACGAGGCACGTGGGGCCCCTCCCCTGCCCTCCCCTGCCCGGGCCGCCTCCTGTCCCCGCCCAGCACCAGGTGTCCCGTGTCCTCCATGGCCTGGAGCCCAGCTGTCCTCCAGGAGTCCACCCCCCGTCCCCCCTGCAGATGGGGACAGTGCTTTGGGCTGTGCGTTGGCAGGGTGTCCCCTTCCCGGGCCTGTGTGACCCCATCTGCCGGGGCCATCCGTGTGGCAGAGCTGTGGTCTGTGCCACAGGCCAGGCTGCCCCGTCCACTGCAGCCCTGGGTTTGGTGAAGGGCTACAAGCCTCTGTCACCTCTGGGAAGCGGGTCCCCTCCTCCACCCTGGGCCACCCTGGGCTTCGCTGTGGCCGGCTGTGTACGGTGGCCTCCGCACGGAGCGCTGTGGCCCGTCCAGCACCTCCCTGTCCACCTGAGGCCTAGCCCCCAGGGCGAGGCAGGGGGCTGGGAACAGCTGCAGGTGACTTGCTGTCCGAGTGACACGCAGTGACCTCACCCCCGACAGGACGGAGGGGTGCACATGCTCCCGGTGCCCGTGTGGAGCCAGCAGGAGGTGGACATCCACGTCCCCATCACCCTCCACCCCAGCATCTTGACGTTCCCGTGGCAGCCCAAGACTGGCGCCTACCAGTACACCATCCAGGTAGGGGACTCGGCCCCCGGCGTCCCTGGGCTTCCCGGGCGTGTGGCCTCCGTCCGCTCTGTGACTTTTTTTGGTAACCAGGGATTGAACTTGGGGGCGCTCGGCCCCTGAGCCCCGTCCCAGCCCTTTTATACCTTATTTAGAGACAGGGTCTCGCTGAGTTGCTCAGGGCCTCGCTGAGGCTGGCCTCTATCTTTTGGTCCTCCTGCCTCGGCCTCCCCAGCCGCTGGGGTTCCAGGCGCAATGTGCCTGCTGTTCTATACCCTCGGCGTTGCTCTCTGTGGTCCAACTGAGCCTCGGGGCCTGTGGTCCTGTGTTCCCCGAGGTCCCTGTCACTGCAGCGTTCTGGGTGGCCGGGGAAGCAGCCCACAGTGGACACTAGCCGGAGACCTCAGTGAGCCCTGGAAGTCCCTGGAGTCCCACTCGGCAGCCACTCGTGTTAAAACACGTGGCGCAGCATAAGTGCACCCACCAGAGAGAACTTGGAGATGTTAAGGGAAAAGTCTCTGCCACCCTGTCCACGCACGGCAAGCGTCTGAACTCGCTGGCGTCCGTGTTCCCACGGGGCGTGGCCTCAGAGGGGTCTCGCACCCTGTGGTCAGCACAGTCCCAGGCCTTGTGGGTCCCCTGGTGATGACAGGTGGCCTGTCTTTGTGCCAGCACCTGCCCCTGCCCACCCAGACCCGGCACCGATTTGGCGTCTGGAATTCAGGATCGTGACCTCTGACCTGGGCACAGCGGGTCTGGCATTTGTCCCCAGCAGGGGGTCAGGACCTGGCCAGGGCCTGTGCTCATGTCTGGTCACAGAGACAGCGTCTGCTGGTGACTCCGGGGTCAGGGCCGGTTGCTGCTCTAGCTGAGCTCCAGGCACAGCCGCTGGTTCTGGGACCAGTGCCAGGGTCCCGTGTTCGTGTCTGGCAGTCACGAGGTCCCCAGAGCACGAGGTCCCCAGAGTACAAACGTCCCCATGGCACCAGGTTCCCAGAGCACCAATGTCCCCATGGCACCAGGTCCCCAGAGCACAAACGTCCCCAGAGCACAAACGTCCCCAGAGCAGGAAGTCCCCAGCACACAAGGACCAGAAGGGACCGTGTGGGGCAGCAGGGCGCGAGTGGGTGGCGTTCTTGGGGGCTGGTGGTGTGCACGGGCAGGTGCGGGTGGGCTGGGAGACGGTGGTGGCCATGGGCGTGACTCGGCGAGCGTGTGTGGACACGGCGTGGACGTGTCCCTGGCCAGCATGGCACTGGGCACCCCGTCCCCCGCCTGCCACTCCCCAAGGCCGGCTGGTGGCTATGTGCTTCCTGGTGGCTCTCCTCCCCAGGCCCACGGGGGCAGCGGGAATTTCACCTGGTCTTCCTCCCGCCACTCGGTGGCCACCGTCACCGCCAAGGGCGTGATGACCACGGGCAGCGACACGGGCCTCAGTGTGGTCCGGGCGCAGGACGTCCAGAACCCCCTGCATTTCGGTGAGATGAAGGTGAGACGCGGGGCCGGACAGCGGGGCGCGGGTGGCCGGGAGGCCGGGAGCGCCCAGCCCGCCCTGTGGGACCGCGACCCGGCACCCTCGCCCTGGCCGGAAGGGCCAGTGTCCCAGGGCAGGAGACCAGATCACCCTGAGGACCTGGAGAGTCAGCCAGTCCAGAGAGGGCCACCCTGTCCTGGGCTGGTGGGTCACAGGGAGAGGTCCCCAGGCCAGAGACCTCAGAGCCACGCTGCACCTGGGACTTTCTCCCTGAGCTGCGGGGCAGATGGCCGTCCCTCCGCCCCCAAGGCCTCTGCCCCCAGCCCCTCCTGACCACCGCTCTGAGCTTCCCTCCTTGACTCACTAACAGCAGAGGACACAGACTCTGTCCCCGTGGTTGGGACGCGGGTGGCAGGTCCTTCCCCCTCCTGCTGGGAGCCACACGCCCGCTAGACGGCCCAGGCCACGTGTGGACACCCTGGACAGAGGCCCTGGGGGGCAGCCCTGTTGTGCAGTGTGGTGTCCACCGCAGCCCTCCGTCCTCCCTGCAGTTCCTGTGCCACCCGGAGCCCCAGGACGGCTCCTGGGCCAGGCAGCTGGCCCCCTCCTGGACACCGCCCCCCCCCCCGAGTGGACTGGGCTGTCAGAGCCCCTCCTGGTCCTCGGGCTACTGGGGCTGGTGGCCCTGGGCTTGCCTGGCAGGAGACAGGAGGGACAGGTGAGCGAGACAAGAAGCCGCAGGCAGTGAGTGGCCCCTCTGGCCTCCTGCCCTGCCCCAGGCCACCTGAGCTGTCCATCCAGGGTCACCCCTCAGATCTGCCACTGCTGCCCACCAGCAGCCTCCTCATTAGTCGCCTGGTGGCCGATTTTTGCACAGGACCCAGAGTGTGGCACCCTCTGCAGCCTCCCCAGCTCAGCCAGAGTGAAAATGGGGTCAGGCCTGCCCACGGCCTTCTGGGCCTCCTCCCGCTGTGGCCACACTAGTCTTTCCGTGGGGTGTACCAGGGATTTGAACCAGGGGCCCTCAACCCCTGAGACCCGGCCCCAGCCCTATTCTGTATTTTATTTAGGGACAGGACCTCACTGAGTTGCTCAGGGCCTCACTTTTGCTGAGGCTGGCCTCCAACTTGCGATCCTCCTGCCTCAGCCTCCTGAGCCACTGGGATGACAGGGTGCACCACCGCGTGTGGCCACACTGGCCTCCTTTGTGCGCCTGCCAGGAGCTGAGCAGCCAAGTCCATCTCAGGACCGTCCTTGGCCTGACTGTCCCCCAGGGAGACATTTCTCTACCTGGCAGGGCTGACGGGCTCATGTCCGTGCACCTAGGTCCTCTCTCAGAGATCAGTCCCCTCCCTGGTCAGCTCTGTGCTTGCAGCCTCCGTGCCCAGCCTGGTTGTCCGCTGGTGTGTCCTCAGGGCCACCACAGCACACCTGGCACACTGAGCCCCTGAGCCGCAGGCCACCTCCCGCCGAGGCTGACTGCCCAGGCCTGGCCCTCCTGCAGGTGTATGTGATCGAGCCCAGCAGCATGGACTTCGCCCCTTGCCGGGTGGAGGCGCGAGTGGGCCAGACCCTGGATCTGCCCCTGAGGATCAATGGCCTCATGCCCAGTGGGGACAGCAAGGTGGTCACCCTCAGCGACTGCTCCCACTTCGACTTGGCGGTGGAGGTGGAGAAGCGGGGCGTGTTCCAGCCCCTCCCAGGTGGGCGGGGCGAGGTGGGGGCGGGACGTACTACAGCCCCTCCCAGGTGGGTGGGGTGAGGTGGGGCGGGGCGTGTTCCAGCCCCTCCCAGGTGGGCGGGGCGAGGGGGGGGGGCGTGCTCCAGTCTCCCAGGTGGGGCAGCCGGTGGGCGGGGCGAGGTGGGGCTGGGCGGGGCGTGCTCCAGCCCCTCCCAGATGGGGCAGCCTGCCTGAGGGCGAGGCCGCAGAGCGGTCAGCGTCGGGTGGCCATGGCCCTGTCCCCATCAGCTGCAGTCTGTCCCAGCCTCGCGGGCCGAGGCCCTGGCCACTGCTGCCAGCCGTGGCCGGGTCTCCAGGCCTGGCTGTCACCCCAGGACGCTCGCATCTCTAGGGGGATTCTGTTGAGACAGGAGTCCTGGGGTCAGGATTTCTCTCAGAAAGTTCCTGTAGGCTCCCAAGTGACTGCATGCAGGACTTTGTGTGGCCTTGGGGACGACTCAGTTGGCTTAAGGAATGGGTGTCTTAGGCAGGGACGGCTGGTCAGTGCAGAGACGTTCACAGGGATCTGTGGGACCGCGTCCCGGGTCCCTCCGCCTGCTGTGGCAGAGTTTCTTAAACTGCGTAAGTTTTGTCAACAATAGAAAGTGACTTCACAGTCACTCCACATGGGGCTGCGTCCTGCCTTGTGCATGTGTCCCACGGCCTTGTTTCTTCAGAAGCTCTTAACTGTGCGGTGAACACACGCCTGTCATCCCGGCAGCTCGGGAGGCTGAGGCAGGAGGATCGCAAGGTGGAGGCCAGCCTCAGCCACTCAGCGAGGCCCTAAGCAGCTCAGCGAGACCCTGTCTCTAAATAAAATTCAGAATAGGGCTGGGGACGGGGCTCAGGGGTTAGCGCCCCCTAGGTTCAGTCCCTGGCACAAAAAAAAAAAAAAAAAAAAAAGTACTTTTAACCAGTGTTGCCGCTGAGAGGCCTTTGAAGTCCTGCCTGCTTCCCTCCTGAGCTTGTCCCTCACCTTGACATCAGGATGCGGGGAGCTCAGGGCCCTGGCTGATCCCTTCAGATGCAGGGAGACTTGGAAACACACACAGGCACCTGCTGTGTTGCAGCTGCCCTGCGCAGCTGTCTCCCCTCTATCTGACCCTTTGTTCCCTGTGACTAGCGACAACCCTCCCACGCCCTGTCCCTGAGCACCATTGTCCTGCTGGGCCTTTCTAGAAGTTCCACTGTTAGACTCCACAGAAGGGCGATCCCGGGGGATTGATGTGTTAATTCTTCCTGTTCAGTCACTCCTGGTGATAGATGCCACTGTCACACTGTCACACTGAGAATGACATTGATGGGGGTGTAGAGAAAAAAAACGCAGGGCCTCCAGCGCCTGCCCCTCTGAGGTCTGTGTGTCGCCTGTGGGCTGTCACCGGGCCTCTTTGTTCCACACCTCCGTGTGACGGCACCCTCCAGTGTCCCCTCGGCCACACCAGGCCACACCAGGCCACCGTTGGGAATCAGGGACAGAAGGAAAACCGGCTTGTGCACACCGTGGTTCAAACTGACCAGCGCTCGTGAGGACAGTGGATCGGCCAGTGAATGACGGGGGAGCAGAGAGTCCTTGGGACAAACGGAAATAAAACAGGGACCCCAAACCCCAAACTTGGAAGTGTGGCATAGAGCATTGGGTTCCAGGGGGCGCAGAGCTGCGGCTGCTTAGTCAGAAAGACGGAGAGCTCGACCCGGCAACCTAAGTTCAGTACTTAACAGAAACAGAAAAAGAACAGGCTAGGCGCCAGGGCCCATGCCTCTCATCCCAGCGGCTCAGGAGGCTGAGGCAGGAGGATTGTGAGTTAGAGGCCAACCTCAGCAATGGCAAGGCCCTGCAGAACTCAGGGAGACCCTGTCTCTCATAAAATACAAAATGGGGCTGGGCATGTGCTCAGGGGTCCAGGGCCCCTGAGTTCAATCCCTGGATCTTCCCCCAGCAAAAAAAATTAGAGGAAATCAACAAAACCAAACGGTTGAACGTGGACCGCCCAGGACCCGAGTGGGCCACGCCCTCTTGGGAAAGGGCAGACGTGGCGGACTGGTGACTGCTGTTTCCAGGCTATGGAGCTGCAGGCCACAGATGGTGATGGTGGTCCTGGCCAGGCTAAAGCCTCTAAAGAGGCCCACGGGGTAGAATACCCGGCCTAGAAAAGGACCCTCGTGCCCATAGTGAAATGTCATTTTTGTGGGGTGGTGGGTACCGGGCAAATTGGACTCAGGGTACTGGACCCCTGAGCCCCCGTCCCAGCCCTAGTTTGTAGTTTATTTAGAGACGGGGCCTCACAGAGCTGCTTAGGGCCTTGCTGAGTGGCTGAGGCTGGCCTCCAACTTGCGATCCTCCTGCCTCAGCCTCCCCTGCCCCTGGGATGACAGGCGTGGGCCACCGCCCTGCTGTCTCAGGCTTCTTGGCCTGAGTCTTAGCCACAGGCCATCTGAAGTCTGAGGGGTAAAGACAAGACCGTGAGTCATTCCCCGAAGACGTTGGTGGGTGACTTGTTTGATTCTTTGTCTGTTTTCGGGGCCGGGTGTCAGGCACTGAGTTACACCCCAGCCCCAAGGTCATTAAGTTGGCATGGGCTGTGTGTCCAGCCAGGTGGAGTGGCCCTGAGCTGGCTGTGCGCCCCCCCAGCTTCCCGTGGTGACCGCGGTTCTCCCTTTGGCACAGGGCGGCTGTCCCCAGGGCCGGAGCACTGTGGAGGCGTCCGGGTGAAGGCCGAGGCCCGGGGCTCCACCACGCTCCTGGTGAGCTACACGCATGGCCACGTCCACCTGAGCGCCAGCCTCACCATCGCCGCCTACCTGCCCCTCAGGGTGAGCCGGCTGCCCTGGGCCACTGTGCCCACGGCTCCCTGGGGCTGTTCCCGCGGGTGTCCCAACGGAGGCCAAGCCAGGAGTCCCCCAGAGGCCAGGGGGGAGTGAGGCTGGGTTCCCTCCACAGCCCGCTGCGCCCCGGGGTCTCCCAGACACAGAGGGGTGCACAGAGGACGTGGCCCCAAGGCTCTGCCCCGCCTGCCCCCTGCCCTGCCCGGGGAAGGCTGAGGCCCCGCTGTCCCTCCCAGGCCATGGACCCGTCCTCCGTCGCTGTGGTCACCCTGGGCTCCTCAAAGGACATGCTGTTTGAAGGAGGCCCCCGGCCCTGGGTCCTGGAGCCAGCCAGGTTCTTCCGGAACGTCACCTCTGAGGACGGGGACAGCATCGGCCTGGCCCTCCTGGGCCCGCCCGCCTCCCGGAGCCACCAGCAGCACAGCATCCGCGCCACCTGCCGGGCCCTGGGCGAGCAGGTGAGTGGCCGCTACTCAGGGCCTCCAAGGGGGGGACCTCGCAGAGCTGGGTGACCCTGGGGGCTCTGGTCCTGCTGTGCCCACGTTGCAGACGGGAAGTGAAGGCCAGGTGGGGGGACGAGGCTGTGCCCCGGGCAGGCTGAGCGGGGACCGAGGCCACCAGCTGTCCCGGAGCCAGCCCCCGGGGGTCCCTCTCAGGGCCGCAGAATCCCCCACCTGGCTGGACGGTGGGGGGGGGTGTCAGGGCAGAAAACCCGATGGTCCCAGAGTTGGGCCTCTTGTGAGTGAGGAGGCCGTAGACCAGGGGGGTCACCTGGGGCTCAGCCGGCGGCACAGCCTGTGTCCTGCGCCTGGGATCCCTGCTGGGACACCGGTAAGTGACCCCAAGGGCCCTCACCCACTGAGCCCCGTCCCAGCCTTGTCTTGTATTTTATTGAGAGTCAGGGTCTCGCTGAGCTGCTCAGGGGTTCGCTGTGGCTGAGGCTGGCCTCCACCTTGCGATCCTCCTGCCTCAGCCTCCTGAGAACCTGGGAAGACAGGCGTGGGTCACGTGGGTGCCTGGCTCTTCATATTTGTTGGTTTGTTTTGTTTTTTTTTAATGTGAAAATCGAGGAATATCAGAAGACTGAGTGGACGTGTGGCCTGAGCCCCTGGGCTGGCCTGGCGGGTGGCGAGGTGCAGGTCCTCTGGTGCCTGGTACCCGCGCCCTCCAGCCAGGCGCAAGCTACGGGCTCTGTGCCCCTTTAGCTTCCTCTGGGGTCCACCGCTCCGTTGCCAGGGTTCCCCAAAGAGGGCACGGAAAGTGAGCAGGAGGTCAGAGTGGACCTGGAGAGGCAGAGCAGAGCACCCGAGGGGACGCGCCCTGGGGGACGCGCCCTGACTGCCGTCCCCCCTGCCCCCAGGTCATCGCCCTCTCCGTGGGGAACCAGCCCGGCCTCACCAACCCTTTCCCCGCCGTGGAGTCCGCCGTGGTGAAGGTCGTCTGCGCCCCGCCGTCCAGGATCAGCCTCACGCCCGTCCACGCCGGCCCCCCGCTGGACCCGTCCTGTCCACGGCTGCAGCACGACAAGCAGGTGGTGCGTGGGGGAGGGGCTGAGGGGGGACGCAGGCCTGGAGAGGTGGCCAGGGACTAGCAGAGCAGAGTCCAGGTGGTGGGCAGGTGGCACTGCCCACCTGATGTCCACTGAGCTCACCTGGGACCCTGGGGACGTGGCCCTGGCCAGGAGCCTTTGGACTCTGGTGTTGCCATGGGAGACAGGGAAGTCCCTGCTCCTGGCTGACTGCTTTGGCCTCTGCTCTTCATCCTCCTCTGCCTCCCTGGCCTCTACTGACCACTGTTCTGCTCCTTAATTCCTTGGTACCAACTTTTTTTTGGCTCTGGACATCAAACCCAGGGGTGCTCACCCCTGAGCCCCGTCCCCAGCCCTCTTTGTATTTTATTTAGAGACAGGGTCTCGCTGAGGTGCTCAGAGCCTTGCTGAGTTGGTGAGGCCGGCCTCCAACTTGTGATCCTCCTGACTCAGCCTCCTGAGTGCAGGGTGCCTTGGTGGCCAGCAGCTGCAGGGTCTGGTGTTCACTCATCCCGACCCCCAAGCCCACAGGCAGCCCGCCACCTTCAGGATACCCCATGCGGTCAGCCGTGGCCGTGCCCAGGCCCGGGTGTCCTGACCTCTGTTTCCTGTAGGTTCCTGTCTCCAGCCACCGCAACCCCCTGCTGGACCTGGCGGCCTATGACCAGCAGGGCCGCCAATTCGACAACTTCAGCTCCCTGAGTGTCCAGTGGGAATCCACCCGGCCCTCGCTGGCCAGCATCGAGCTGGACCTGCCCATGCAGCTGGTGTCCCGGGACGACGGGAGTGGCCAGAGGAAGTTCCACGGTGAGCCGCGGCTGTGGGCCTGGGGCACGGGACAGGAGGCTGGGGACCAGGGAAACCCCGGCAGCTGAGTGTCCCAGGCAGCGTGGCACCTGTCCGAGCCTCTGCCAGCTGGGGTGCCCCTCGTCCAGCACCGAAGCTCGGGCAGCTCCCTGGGCTGCGGTCTTGCACTGGACTAGAAGTCCCAAGGGGGGAGTCCCCAGTGCCCCCTGTGTGTCCCCAGGCCCCTCAGCAGCCAAAGCTGGCCCGTCCCCTCCAGCCCTGCCCCCCGGGCCCCGCTCAAGGTCTGCGCGACTCCCGACTCCCCTCGACTCTCACACTGGGGACTGCCCCTGATGGAGGGGCGGGTGGCCGCAGAGGGTCAACGTGGGTGTCCTCCTCTGGACTCAGGTTTGCAGGCCATTGCTGTCCATGAGGCGTCGGGGACCACCGCCATCTCAGCCACGGTGACCGGCTACCAGCTGTCCCACCTCAGTGCGGCCAGAGTGAAGCCGCTGGTAGGTCCAGAGCCACCCGTGGGGGTGGACAGCTGGCCGCTGGGCACCGGGGATGGCTCCTCCCAGCTCTGGGATCCGGGGCCTCAGGGTGTGTCCTGGACATCACGGGGGCCTGGGGCGAGGCCAGGACTGGGATCCCACCCCTGTCCCCGGCGTGGCCGGTGGGTCTGATGGCCGTGCCCTGTCCCTGCAGCCCGGCCCGCCTGCGCCCGTGTCCGCCTCGGTGGAGCTGGTCCTGGTGGAGGACGTGCGTGTGGATCCGGACGTGGTGACCCTCTATAACCACCCTGATGTCCAGGTGGGCCCCCCGTCAGCCCCGCCCTGCCCGGGAGACCCTGGGCCCTGGCCCCGCCTGACCGCTGCCCCTGGCCTCTTGTCCCCAGGCGGAGCTGCACGTCAAGGAGGGCTCCGGCTACTTCTTCCTCAACACGAGCGCGGCCAACGTGGTCAAGGTGGCCTACCAGGAGGCCAGGGGCATCGCCACGGTGAGCGGGACCTCGGCCGGCACACGGGGTGGCCTCCTCCGTGGACCGTCCCCTGGGCTCCGTGGCCGACCGTTCCCAAAGCTGGGACTGAGCAGCGCCAGTGCACCACGAGCAGGATCCTGGTTGTCTGGGTCCCTCTGGGACCTCTGTCCCTGCAGGGCCACCTGGGGATCTCTAGTCCGTGTCCACAGCTGCCTGCCCTGTCCGTCAGCAGAGGTGTCCCTCAGTGTCCCGCTGAGAGTGACACAGCCTCCCACGGGCAGCACCTCAGCAGCCATCGTGCCCCTCAGGGATGTGGGACGCGCCTGCTGCTCCCTGTCCCCATGTCTCTGGGGTCCCTGCCATGGGCCACGTGCGCCCGCCCTGTGGTCCCCGCCACGGGCCACATCCCCAGCCCTTCGTGGTCCTTATTGTGAGACAGGGTCCTCCTGAGTTTCCCCAGCTGGCCTCGAACTTTCCGTCCTCCGTCCCCAGCCTCCCGAGTCCTGGGGTGACCGGCGTGTGTCACCTGGGCCCGAACCTTCTCTAGAAGGAGCCTGTTTCTTGCTGAGTGAGTCAGACACAGGGTGGCCCAGGGGACGCAGCAGGGATGTCCAGCCGGGCAGTGCCACTGAGGGACAACTGGCTGCTTGCCTGTGGGGCACTCGGAGCCCAGGCCCGGCTCTCCCTGTTCCAAGGGACGGTTCCCACTGGTGGACAGGGTGGCCACCACCAGGACCGGGCCCTGGACCTCGAGGAGGGCAGGGTGCGGTGCCTGGCGTGGGTGCTGGTGCGACTCCCGGGGCCCTGTGGCCACCCCCTTCCTATCGTCACCCGCTCTCTCATGCGGCCAAGCTTCCGTGACCGCTCTCGCTTCGGTTGTCCCTATACCCGGGAATGGGGTCCCCAAGTCCTGCGGGGGGACTGTGGAACCTGTCCAGGAACTGCCTGGCGGATTTCCCAAGTGACTCAGCAACCCCCGCGGGTCTCCATGTCCCCTACCTGTGTGAGGGCCCCGGCTGCCCCCAGTCTCCCACATCTGGGCCCCAGCTCCCCCGCGTCCTTGTCAACACTTGTACTTATCAGACTCAAGTTCTAGCCATCTTCCGACAGCGGTTTCACACTGGGGTGACCGTTGGCATCTCACTGACGGCTGATGATGGGGTGACTGTTCCTGTGCTTGTCACCCTTGAATTTATGTGGCTCTGTTAGACAAACGTCTACTCAGATCCTGGGCCCGTATTTCATCTTTTTTAAAAAAATATTTTTATTAGTTGTTGATGGATCTTTACTTATTCAGGACCCGTGCTGGGAATCGAGCCAGTGCCTCCCACATGCTGGCTCAGCCTCAGTCCCAGGTTTACTGTCATGCTTTCTTGATGACACCAGCCCTTGTCTCCTGTTCCTTGGGTCATCTTTTGAATTTTTTGGTAGCATGGTTTTGCGCTCACGGCTTTCATTTTGAGGGGTGCGGTGTCTCTGTTTCCTTGTGTCCTTGCTCCTGTGTTTGATGTGAGATCTAAGAATCTGTTAAGAATCGAGGTCGCGAAGATCCATGTTTTCTTTTAGACTTAAAATTCCAGCTCTTGCACCTCAGTCTTTGAAACACGACGTTGTGTTTGTGGGGTGAGGTCGGACTCCATTTTCTTTCTTTCGCTCTTTTTTTTGGTACCAGGGATGGAACCCAGGGCCGCAGGCATGCTAGGCCAGCGCTCTGCCACTGGGCCACATCGTCATTTTAAAAAAAATACTTAAGTATGTTAAAAAATTTAAAAAAGAAAGAAAAAATCCCTCCCAGTCAGCCCGGAGATGGAGGCAGCTGGGGCCTGTCTCGGTTACGTCGGGAGGCTGAGGGGACAGGCCACCGCAGAGCTCCGGCCGCCTCTCCCTGGAACATGTGCTGGTCACTGGGCCGTCCCTGTGTCTTCCCTTCTGTGGGATCTTGAGGGGGGACAGTGTCCCCTTGCAGGCAGGACCCCAGGGTGGGCCCACTCACCCAGCCCTGTGGCAGAATAACCTGTGAGGCAGGCCCCCGAGAACAGCTCCGTCCCCAGAAGTTCCCTGGAACAACCTCCTACTCCTCCTCCCCCTCC